GCTATTTTTTCTATTTTTAGTAGAGACGGAGTCTTACTCTTATTCAGACTGGTCTCGGACTCCTGAGCTCAAGTGATCCTCCTGCCTCGGCCTCCCAGAGTACTAGGATTACACCCTTGAGCCACTGAACTCCTTGGTTCTTAATCTTCTTGCAATCAGAGAATGAAAGCAAGAGGTGATTTTGAAACAGCAAGCAGCAAAGTTTATTAAAGCGAAAGCTCACTCTTAAAGGGGTTAAGAGTGGGCACACATCCGAGCAGACTGTGGCACTGGGGTTTCTTTGGGTCTCTAATCAGCAAGCGATAGCACATGTCCCAGTGGACAGTGGCACCTGGGGTCTTTGGGTTTCTAATCAACAAATAATAGTATACTCCAAAAGGGGGAGTGGGCACACATCCCAGCAAACAGTGACACTGGGGTCTCTTTGTCATCCCTTTTTCTCTTGTCTGGCCTCTCCTCCTTCATGATGTCTCTTCTTTTTTTCTTGACCAATGTGGATGTTGTCTCCTTCCAGCTGTCGGGCAGGGGGAGTTTTTCACCTTATATGGTTAGACCAGATGTGTTGTGGTGTCCAAAGCCAATGGGGGGGTGACTGTAATGTATAATGTGCCCTGTGTTGTTTTTGTTATGTTTCTTGTGATAGTTGTAGCTACCCTTGTTATGGTTACAGTATATTCTCTTACTCCATATACCATTTGTTTACATTGCTAGCTTTTGTATTTTCTCTGCTTATGTCCCACTTTTCTTATATTAACATTCTGTGACACTTCCAGCTACCCTTATCTTGCAGTGTGTGTTTTACTCAGTATCCTGTTTGTTTACATGACCTGTTCTGTACTTCCTCTGCTCATATCTCACTAACAATACTACCTCCCATTTTTGTAGGTGAGACTGATCTGACTATGGCTTGCTCAGGCAGGTCAGCATGAGTCCTAAGTTTCTTCCCTCAGGTTCAGTGTAATGTAAAAAAAAAAAACAACCTTTCTGCTAGCCTGTTGGGATGGGACCTTGAATATGCATTAGAATTAGATTGGAAACCACAGAGTTGAAATGGATATCTGCATCCTTTCAACAAATAATTTATCAAGCATTTACTATGTGCCAGATACTGGTCTGGGCACTAGTTATAACATGGTGAACAGAGCAGACACAGTGCCAGCTCTCATGGAGCTTACATATTAGTGGAAGAGACCAACAGTGTAAATGTAAATAAATAAATATAAATTGCTAGGAAGAAAAAAATTGAGGCTGTTTTTGATTGGGTGGTATACCTCTTTGAGGAGGTAAGAAGCTGAGCCCAGAAAGATATGATAAGGAGACAGTGATGCTGAAAGTAAAGGGAAGAGAATTCAAAGTATAGGGAACAGCATTTGCAAAGGCTCTAAGGTAGGAAAAAGTCAGGAAATGAACAAAGGCTGATGTGGCTGGAGCACAATGAATAAGGGGAAAAGTGGCAAAAGATGAAGTTGAAGTGGTAGGCTGGTGCCTTTGAACAGAGCTCAAAGGAGCTTGAATTTTATTGTGTGTGTGATAGAAATCATTAAAAGATATTAAGCATGGAATGCCAAAATCCTATTTTTTATTTTAGAAGTTCACCCATGCTGCTGTGTAGAGAATGAATTGAGTAATGACATGAGTACCAAGAGGACAACCAGTTGGGACACTATTATGATAATTCAGGTGAGAGATGCCGTTATCTTCAAAAAGACTGGTGGCAGTGAAGATGGAGAAAAGTAGACAGATTAAGATATGTTTTGGAGGTAAAATCAGAAAGACTAAGTGATGGATTAGAGGGGAAGGAGGGATCAGAGGGATATTCATGTTTCTGGGTTGAGCAGTAGTTGGATAGTGGTACCATTTACCAAGATGAAGAAAATCAGAGGAAGAATAAGATTTTCAGGTAAGAGATACTTGAATAGAGAACTTGATTTTAGACAGACTGTTTGGGTATCTTTGCTATATATCCAATTTGAAATACTCATTAGCAATTGCACATAAGAACTTGAAGCTCAAAGGAGAGATTTGTGTTGGTGATACAGCCATATGCTCTTGACTTTCACATTGCACATGAGAACTTGAAGCTCAAAGGAGAGATTTGTGTTGGTGATACACATTTGAAAGTCATCAGCATACGGGTGATATTTAAAGCGAAGAAATGGACAAAAATCACCGAGAGATTATCTGACTTGATGGTTATCACCATTGAGCCTGTGGCAACCAGTGTGGTTGAATATCTTTTGGGGTTTAAAGCATTAGATTTCAATAATTCGGTAAATGAACTGTCCTTAGATCTGCAGATGGTCATGTATTTGTCACCCTATGTTGCCCTGAAATGCCCCATCTCATGGTGGAGAAAGAGAAACAAGATCTCGTGTCCACAGATGCTCCCTGGATCAGGCTATTACACTTGCTGGTTTCTATTTTCGGTGGGCTGAGGGCTATGCCAGTTTTCTGCCACCCACAGGACAGACCATGAAGCTGAAGGAACTTGAGCGGCCAGCTGTCCAAGCATGGAGCCCAGCCAGCCAGTACCCTGTGTATCTGGCCACAGGTATGGTGATACTGTGGATTAGGATTCATTAGAAGTATATAGGCTGAGGGGAAATTTAGTATCTAGAATTCTTTACTGAACATCAGAAAAAGCTTTCAGATCATGGAAAGGTGGGGATGGCTTACAGCATAAACAAGGGGATATTAGATGTTTTGGGGTAGTTAAGGGTAGCCTTGGACTCTGGCTCAAGTCTAGGCACCTCATGCTTTCTTGCTTTCTTTGGAGTTACCCTTAGAGAAAGGGTATACCCAGTCCTCTCCTGTTCCTCCTTCTCTCTACTCCTTAACCCTTTTATACCATAAATCCATGCATATATTGGTGTTCATATGCTGCCTCTTCTTGACTTTTCTTGTGCCTAGGAACATCTGCCCAGCAGCTAGATGCCTCCTTTAGCACAAATGGTACATTGGAAATCTTTGAGGTTGATTTCAGGGACCCTTCTTTGGACTTGAAATGCAAAGGAGTCCTGTCTGCCTCGAGCAGGTACTATGTCTGAACTATTGATGGGTATGCAGGGCAGATCCTAATGAGGAATCCTGGGAGTAGTGTGTGCTTCTCAGGGCTCATGAGGAGACAAGTGAGGGGAGAAGGAGCTTTGCCAAGTTGGAGAGAAGTTAACTCTGGGCTTATTTTGCAAAAAGATTTTGAAAACAACCATGCCCAGCTTTCTGGTCAGCAGCAGCAACAGCAGCAGTTCAGGCAGAATGCATGTGATAGAAGATAACCTCACACAAGCCTGGACCCGCATGTACCTGATCTCTTTTTGAACCCGGAGATATTGGCTCCTTTCTCCCTTGGCTTTTGTGAAAATAACAACCTTACACAATATCACCCTCTTCTGTCAACAGAGAAGAGAACGAATGATCGTCTCCTCATTGCTATTAGGTACTGATTGGTTCTCATGGATTTCATGGCTCTGGCAATCTTACAGGGCTATGTACCGTCATTCATTGAGCACATATATTCATGCCAGACATTGTGCTATAGGCTCTGTATGTTTTATTTATTCCTCAAATTAAGCCTAAGCATTAAGTATCATTATTTCCATTTTACATAGGAAGGAACTAAAACTCTGAGAAGCTAGGATTTAAGTCTAGGCCTATCTGAGTCTAAAACCTACCTTCTTCTTCCATTATTCTACTGTTCTTTTAAAGGTTTTGTAAAAGTGGGGCTTACAGTCTGAAGCAATGGTCTCCAAATTTTTATACCATCAGAAAAAATGTGAATATTCTTTATATGTAAGTTATATATTCAATATAAATAATACACATGTATTGCTATACTATTAATAAGGTACTATTTCTATCATTTTTAGATTAAAATATAAATACTTTTCTTATAGCCCAGTGAATTATCTTGCCCACCCTACTTTAGAGATTACTGGTCTAGAAGGCAACTTTCCCTCTAATGATTGATGAACTCCTTGTGCATTTCTTCATCCCTCCAAGAGATTAGTTAAAATATTTAGGCAGAAGTACACTCTTCTTTTTTTTTCACAGATTAACCTAATAATGAAAGGTTAGTTATTGTTTGCCTTTTCTTGAGCCCCTATATCACTTTACAACAGCATCCCTTATTTGCAATTTTTTACATCTCTTTGTATTTCCAATACCTGTACCCTTTGAAGAGGAGGCACTTGGGGATTTACCAATAATGATGAGATATTCTTAACCCCTGAGAAAGCCTTTCAGAAAGGGACCCTGAAAAGGGTGAGCTAATTCAAGAATGTTTATACTCCTGGAGATAGGAAAGGGGGCAGTGAGCAAGGGCTCTTATCCTCAATGAGCCAAGCTACAGCTTTAGCACAGTAGTGGCTCCTTAGGGCTAAGGGTTTATTCCTAAGAAAGAGGCAATATAATTGTTTAAGAAACCTTGAGAAGGGAGAGGTGGGGAAAGGAATAAACCAACCTGATGGGTACTATGATCACTATTTGGGTGGACAAGCACACCTATAGCCAAGACTCAGGCATTACAAAAACCTAAAACATTCATACCCCCTTAATATTTTGAAATAATAAAAAAAGAAGTCTCAAAACTGAATTCTAAGATTCATGTGGGCAGGGATTTTATCTGTTTCATTCACTGCTCTATCTCCATCACCTGGAACAGTGCCTGGCATTATGTTTAATAAATATTTGTTGAATGAATGAGTGATATTAGAAACTTGTGGATTACCAAACTGAACATTCATATCCAACACTTCAGTTAGTTATAGTTAGTCTTCAGTTAGTCTTAGTGCCTTAAGAGCTTTTCAAGGGTTAGTTTGAATTTGGGAGTCATGAACTTTACCTCATACTCTTGCTCCACTCTGCAGGGATTTGGGGCCAGTAATCAAAATAAATATTTAATAGTACAGTTAACACTATTGATAGTATTTCATCTCTTTTCCCACCTCTATAACTATGTTTGAAGACTGAGTCTCATTCCCAAAGACCTCAATCCCAAAGGGATTACCTTTGACACAGTAGTGTTGGGGGCTTTCTGAAGAAATTATCTCAGACATCCCAGTGTCTCAGACACTTCTTTCTGTTCCAGTCTGGGTTATGTCACCCACTCAAAAGTCAGTATCATAAACTATTGACCAAGATGATCAGGGTAGATAGAAGACTACTCATTCTTTGTTTTATGCTTTCCTCTTTCCTTTCTTTTCTATGTTATCTTCTGCATGATGTAGTGGAAAGCCCAGTTTTGTTGGGCTGTAGCCTTGACTATAATACCAATAAAGCTGTGTGACTTTGGGCAAGTTAAGTCACTTATCTTAGGTTTCCTCATTTATGTATAAAGAAGAGGTTATACAAGATGACTTTGAAGAACCTGCTGAGACCCAAATTCAGGTGCTATGTTCAGTCTCTTCTTCCCTTTTATTTCCTTCCCTTTTTCTTTTTTTTAAACCTCTTCCCGTGTCTCTTCATTATCAACTAAACATATGCCTTTTAAAATCTTCCCCCTTCCTCTGCCTTCCCTTTTCACCAAACCCATGCCTCAGCCAAATTTGAATCCTGAAGATACCCTCATCCTCAATCCACGATGCATCAGAGAAATATCTGGAAATATTGGACTGAAAGAGAAACATTCTGAAACACTGGTATGGTTATAGGACTGAAAGAGAAATGTTCTGAAACACTGGTTTGGTTATAGATAAGGGACAGCCTCAAGCTATAAATAGACAGAAGAGAGTGCATGGATAAATGCCTCTCTATGTAATCAAAATCAATATGAATTAGCATGTGCACTGAAGCAAACAATGTTTGGTTTGTTAGATGAATTTCACTCAAGAAGAAAGGTTTCTGGGAGAATAATACATTGTGTCATTGACTGAGGACATAGCTGCTGTGGCCGAACGAGGTGAAAAGCCAATGTGTGATCTCCTGTACTTCACCCTCTGTCTACACTGAGGTTCTAGATCTCTGAGTGGCCTCCATAATCTCTACAAGACGCATCCTCTAGTAACCTGGAGAAAGTCAGGGATCTATCTTCTATCATTCTACCTTTATCTAAATTTTAGCTATTTGAAGAGCACTGTGCTCTGTCTTTGGGTACCTTTGTAAGGGAGAACACTAAGCAGAAAAAAATCATTTTGTGTACTTATTTTCCCTATTCTCAAGATTTGCCTTTTTTTTTTAGAGGCTTCAAGATCATAGATAGAACATGGGCTTTGTTGTTGGATAGACCTGGGTTCAAATCCCAACTTTGCCACTTACTGCCCTCTTGGGCACTTTGTTCAACTTCTCTGACCCTGTTTTCTCCACTATAAATTCAGGATTCATAGTAGATACATAGTAGTTTGGTGTACAGTGGGCATTCAGAAAGTAGCTTGCCTCTCAAACAGCCATTGCTCCATTCATTCTCCAGCTTGGAGTACTGCCTTTACCACTCTGTTTGCCTTTTAAGGACACTTGGATTTCCCAAGCTATTTTGGCCTGGATGTGGACAAAGTCTTTTTCACTTCAGTTCACTAATATAAGGTCAGGATTTTTCAAAAGGAGCTGTACTAAGCAAGTGAAAGCAAAATCCAAAACAAAGACATGAATAAATCATGGAAGAATTTATACAGCATATGTGTTTAATTGTAAGGTGAAGTTTGGTCTCAGATGAGCTTAACTGCTGCAGCATCCTTATGTCACAGGCCTCGGTTTATTCTTTTCAGCCTGGTCTCTTTCATTTTGCCAGAAGCATAGCGATGAGCTGGTTGTTATGGCCGGTTCTATCTTTATGAAATTCAGCTTCTTCCTCTATTGGTCTAAGCTGATGTGCAATCTCATGAATCTAGTAGAGTGGTTTTAAGCCCTTGCTGCTTGTTAGAATCACTGGGGGGCTCTTCCTAAAAAATGTAAATTCTGAGGGCTTGTCTCTGGAAATTCTGCTTCACTAGGTCTGGTGGGAATCAAAGAACCTATATATTTAGGTACCACCCATCATTCTGTGATGCCATATAGTCTCCATCGTTGCCAGCCATTATCCTGGGAACCTCTTTAGCAGAGAATTCCAGCTATATTCTCATGTTTTAAATGTTCCCACCTTCCTACAGAACTCTTCATCATATACCTTCTCCTTAAACTTCTCAGTTCCTATTTTCAGGCTAAAGGCCACCTTTTTTGTTATCTAACTTTTTATTTTTTATTCAAACTTACAGGAAAGTTGCAGAAGAGTACAATGAACAATCATATGACCTTCAGTTAGAGTTATTAGTTAACATTTTGTCGTATTTCTTCCCTTTTCTCCCCATTCTTCTACTCCCTTTCCCGTTCCACCTTACACACACACACACACACACACACACACACACACACACACAGAGCTATCTCTTGTTCTCTGTCCATTTGCAGAGTAGAGATGATTGACACTCCTTGAGCCCAACTTTAGACTGAATGATCAAATCTCCATTCTTGCTTAGCTTGACCTAGATGCTCCCACTCTCTCAGGTGTTCTCCATATCACAACCTATTCAGGTGCCAGCTTCACCCTCACTAGTGAGATGGTTAACAACAGAAATGTGCTTTCTACATGCAAACAGAAAATCACTCTGTCACACCCTGTGTGCTGCATTTCAGCCACTCTAAAGTAACTGCCCTCTTCTTCAACCCTTTAGTGACTCCCCCTTGAGGTCTCAGGAACCTTTTGCTCTGATCTGTATTCTCTCAGCTTATTGGGATCACTGCATCCTCTCCATTCCCATGTGAGTTTTCTCACTGGCCATACCCTCCTTTGGTTCCTGTGTGACCTGCTATGGGCTCCTGTAGCTATTCTGTTGACATGCCCTCTGTCCCCACTGAGCTCCAGTCCCTGGATGACATAGCAGCCTCCTGAGCCAGTATGGAAAGCATTCTTCTGCCATGTTAAGATCAGTGCAACCTTAGAAAACACCCTTTCTGACAGTAGCCTCATAGCTAGCATTGTGTCAGCTCTGCTGTTTTGCTTCAGATGCTGACCTGGTCTGAACTAGTGCTCTGCTCTTTGCTTCTAACAGGCTGGCTGTGCTCCAATGATTGGCCAGTTTCCTTCCCTATCACCCCACTCAATTTCTTTGCTCACTGTTCACAGGGTGTGGGAATATTCCATTGCTAACTGATCTGGTAACATCATTTGGTATGAAATCCAGCTTCTCTAAAGGGCTGTGGAAATGTCCTTGGCTAATAGCTATGAAATGGGAGACAGATCACCTGTAAAGTTTCAGGGATTTCACATGCCTTCCCTAGAGGCTTTGCAGAGGACCCAGACTTGTCTTCAGGGGATCCAGAGTCCATCTTTTTCTTCTGTGCAAGACAATGGCAATATCTTGTTAGAAGCATCCTCAGAAAGCCAGAAAAGTTTCCCAAATGGGGCATTTATCCTTTCGTGTCTCTAGGGCTGGCCTATTGCAGCCATGTGGCAGCTCCAATGGGCCATTCACCTGGGAGAGGCATGGGGTAGGGAGGTCCTTGAGTTTTTTCTCACTTCCAGTTTGAGAGTGAAGAGAGGACAGCAATTGTTGGTCCAGGAAGTCTGCTTCTAATCAGTTACAGAAAAGTTTGGATTTTCCTCTCACTAAGAGGCAGTATTTTATGAGCTCTGGAATAATATGGGCCTGACTTTGAACCTTTGACTCTGCCACTTCCTAGCTATAAAATAGAGATAAAATTACTAGCTCTGTACAGAAGTCTTATGACTTCATTGTGCCTCAGTTTCCTCAAATAAAAATGGAGAAAAGAGTAATATCTCATAGAGTTGTTAAGTATTAAATCAGCTAATACATGTTAAACACTTAAAACAGTGTCTGGTACATAGCGAGTATTCAGTAAGTGTAAGTTGTTATTACCTATTTAAGTTGTGAGGATTAAGTGAAGTAATCTATTTGAAGTATTTATCATAGGGCCTATATAACCCTAATGTTAACTTAAAAAAAATATGTATATATATATATACACCTCCACATAACTCAGAGGCTGTAACTTCCTTGCTTCTACTGTAACATAGATAAAACAATTTTTCAGAGAAAGGGCATGACTGGGCAGAAGAGACTTCCCTTCAGTGTCTGGGAAATGGAGACAGATCTCAGCTAGGGGTGGGGATGCCTGCATAATGGCAGAGGTTGACAAAGATGCCTGTCCTTTGCTACTAACATGGGCTTAAGTTGGTGCTGATGCCAATTCCTCCTCTTTGTAGGTTTCACAAGCTGATCTGGGGGAGCTTTGGCAATGGGCTTCTGGAAGGCTCCGGGGTTATTGCAGGCGGCGGGGACAATGGCATGCTTACTCTATACAATGTGACCCACATCCTGTCTTCGGGGAAGGAACCTGTGATTGCCCAGAGACAGAAGCACATGGGGGCTGTCAGAGCCCTCGACTTTAATCCTTTCCAGGTACTACATTTCAGTGGGTCAAACATGGCCAAGCCATGGAGCAACAGGTCTGAGTGGAAGCATTCACTTGTGCCCCCAGTCTGTAACTCCGAACCCTTTCCAGGCTGTTACAGGGGAGGCTTTTGACAGCCCCAAATGTGGGCTCTTTCCCCATTTCCTGTTCTCATCTCTTCCTGGGATGGTGTGTCTCCAAACACTTTTTATTCATACAGGGCAACCTCCTGGCCTCAGGGGCCAGTAACTCTGAAATCTTCATTTGGGATTTGAATAACCTGAGTGTGCCAATGACTCCAGGATCCAAATCACAGGTGAGGAGTCCCTCCAGCCCCCACCCAGCTGCTGCTTAGAGTGTGCAGCTGGTTATCCCAGGTGAAGCCTTGAGTTCTGGAGCCAGCCAGAGCACAAGAGATTTTAGGCTTTACCACTGGAGGGCAATAAAGCTCCATAGACTAACATGCTACCGGCCAGATGAGAACTGGGAAGGAGAGTGGGGTAGAGGGTGTATGTGGGGTGGCTGGTTTGTGGCCATTACCTATTCTAGAAGTTTATGGGAGGGAGATGAAGGTTGGGGAGAGCAAAAGACACTGAAAGAAGGAATGGAAGTGCTATTTATCACAGTATAGCTTTGGTAGGGCCCTGGGCTCGGAAGACAGGGAGCAAGAGTAGGGCCCCAGACATACCATTGTCCTTTTCTGGGAAGGGTTCGCTTTGTTCTCTCTGTACGTGGCTCTCGTATGCAGTTGGGGTCTGGCGTGTCTTCTGTCTCTGAATGTGCCTATCTGTCAGTCTGTTACTGGGCCTGTCTTTTGCTTCCTGGCTTTTCTCTCTTATGCTTACAGTACCATGAGGTAAGCTAAGTATGAATTTGATAGCATCTTGTGGTTTTTCTTGCTGCCTCACTCTCTCTTGGGTGGCTAAGATTCCCTTCTTCCCTCACCTTCTTCCTTCTGTACCCCTCTTGTCTCTCTCTTGTCCTAGACAAGAGGGCTGTTTTTAAATCTTTATCCTCTCAGGAGAACTTTGGGACGGGGTAAAACCCAAGTGTGCCTGCCTTTCCCTCTGCTTCTATACTTGTACCCTAAAGGATCCTCCCTGGAAAATTCAACTCCCAGCAACCTGAAACTGTCTTAGTTTGGGTGGCCCCAGGCTGTGGGTGGTTGGGAACAGAGGAAGAGCAGATGTCACTAGGTCCAGGGGGTGACAAGTTGTCATTCTCCGCCCACCATCCTGCCTCAGCAGCCCCCAGAGGACATCAAGGCACTCTCTTGGAACCGGCAAGTCCAATACATTCTGTCTTCTGCTCACCCCAGTGGCAAGGCAGTTGTGTGGGATCTCAGGAAGAATGAGCCTATCATCAAAGTCAGTGATCACAGCAACAGGGTGAGTAGTGGAGGCCAGAACATAGGCTTGGACTCTGGCTTCTCTCTATCTAGCAGTTGGAGCTGCTCTGCCCCAAGCAAGGGTTCTGCTTTCAGCTGTTGGACATGTGGATTCAGCCCCTTAGCAGATTTCCTGTTGAGAGAGAAAACTTAGAGAAACTAAACAGAGCTGATCTGGAGGTTTCTACCATTCCTTACTTATTCATGGGCATCACTTACTCCCTGATGGCTGTGGTGTTCCCCATCACATGGAAGAGACACAAAACCTATCCTAAAAGTGGTTGCATTCTAGCTGGGCATAAAGGGTTCATAACCAGAAGAGTCAGGTTACATCATGCATTGGGATCTGCTTTGTTCACAGATGCACTGCTCAGGCCTGGCCTGGCACCCAGCCATAGCCACCCAGTTAGTACTATGCTCAGAAGATGATCGTCTCCCGGTGATTCAGTTGTGGGACTTGCGCTTTGCCTCCTCACCCCTGAAGGTGCTAGAGAGCCACAGCAGGTAGCATCTCCAACCCATCCACATCCTTGGAGGGACGGTGGGTATAACTGACCTGGGTAGGAGGCAGTGAATACCTCACTTTAGCCACCAAACATCCTCCCTGGCTTTAAAGCCATCCCAATGAACATACAGTCACCCATTACTAGTTTCAGCCCTAACCAAGAGGAGTTCCTTTGGACCCTAAGGTTATGGAAAAGAGCCTGAGATTCCATCTAACTTCCAGACATGGGAGTGGGATGGGGGTCATGAGAAACACTGAAGCCAGTGTTTAGTCCACTGGGGAGAGTCCCTAGGTTCCGATCCGAGGATAATGTTCGTTTCTTTAGGTAATGAGCTTGCCTCCTCTGAGACTTCTCCTTAAAAAAAACAGCTTGACTCCTCTCTGTCCTGTGAAAAGGCCTGCCCCTGAAGCTGTAGCTCTTGGGCCCACAGCAGAGGAAGTGACACCATAATCTATTCTTTCTAACCAAAGGCCTGTGTTGTCTTTATATCTCCTTGGGGACTTTTGAGGGTTGAGGTTTTCACTACCCTCCTTGGCTAAAAACACCACAGGGATGAATGTTTGCATGATTCATACTGATTCATAGTTCCTACTCTCTAATCAGTGAAAAGCGGGCTGTCCTGCGGTGACCTGTGGGAGGCAGAGTGGTGCAACACATAATGCATAGGCTCTGGGGTTTGACTTGGGTTCTGGGTGTGCAACTGTCTGAAAGTTAATTTTTCAAAGCCTCATTTTCCTCTTTTGTAAAATGAAATCAGACTACTCATTTTATAGAGCCGAGATTATCTAAGACATGTAAGCACCCTACTCATAGTAGGCGTTCAACAAATGTTAGTTCTTCTTTCTTTTCCATTTTAGGGGGATCTTGTCAGTGTCTTGGAGCCAGGGTGATGCTGAACTGCTGCTCAGTAGTGCCAAGGACAACCAGGTCTTGTGCTGGGACCTGGGGAGCAGTGAGGTAGGCTGGCTCTTCTGTGGGCATGCTGGGATGGGAGATGAGATGGCAGAAAAATCCCAGCTGCAGCCATGTGTTTTGGGTTTTGTGGACTGCATGGTCCCTAATAATTGTGTTCCCTCATATTAGGTGGTATATAAACTACCCACACAGAGCAGCTGGTGCTTTGATGTGCAGTGGTGCCCTCGGGACCCTCCAGTGTTCTCTGCTGCCTCCTTTGATGGCTGGATCAGTTTGTACTCTGTGATGGGTAGGAGCTGGGAAGTCCAGCACATGAGACAGGCCTACAAGGTTTGAAGGGCTTGGTGGAGAATGCTAGAGGGAAGGGACTATCTCTATTTGTGGGAAGAGAGAAGGACATACATCCTGAGAAGAAATGGGGACTATCGGAGACTGGGAGACCAGGGCCCTGGGTTTGGGAGGGCTGAACCTTTGCTTCAATGCTCATCTTCCTGGGAGGGTGTTAGTTTCTGCCACAGTACAAAGGAGCACACAGTAAAAAGGAGGCCTTCAGCTTGACTTTTATTATTGAATTTTCCCTGTAGTATTTCAGGAACAGTGGACCTCTATGATGGGACCATTATTTCCAGAATATGAACTGTCTTTTCTCTCTCTCTCCTATAGATCCATTTTGTACCACATTCCATTGTAGACTTTGAATGGAGTAGGCTTTCCCAGAGCCTACTGCATGGGAGTCCCACCCTCACAACCAGTCCCAGTCCCATCCCCATCCCCTGGAATATGGGAGTCTGGCCTTTCTAGGTCAAATTGGGTATCTCAAGGATTCCTCCTAAAATGGAGTTTGTAGGTGGAGTTCTTAGCTAAGCTGCCACTTCAGCCTGATGATGCAGATGTCTTTTTTCCCCTAGATCTCCTCTTCCTTCAGCAAAGGCCAGCCTCTCCCACCATTGCAGGTACCAGAGCAGGTGGCCCAAGCCTCATTGATACCTCCCCTGAAAAAACCCCCCAAATGGATTAGAAGGCCTTCAGGCGTTTCATTTGCCGTAAGTGCAATGAGTGTATGGCTGTAGTTGTGTGTGTGTGTGTATGTGGTTGTGAAGCCTGCCATGTGCCCAGCATGGAGTTAAGTTCTCTAGGAAATTTATTCCCACTGCCTCTGTCTCAGATCAGGTCCTTCTTTACCTCTCAAGCAGAGAGTTACTATAGCTTCCTTCTCTGCCCCTTCACCCATTCCACACCGTTTGTGGTGCCAGTTCTTAAAAGGAATTGATTGCCTTAGACCTCTTGCTTACGGAGAACAGCGTGAGACTCTGAGTTTTCTCTGACTCTTACATGTCTGGGCTGGTAGTGAGGAACACAGAGAAGGAAAATAAAAATAGATTTCACCCTGTCATTCCTCTGCTCAAAACCTTTGAGTCTCCATTGCCTTATAGACTCAAGGCTAAATGTGCACAAGGCATCACTTCCCTTTCCAGTACCATCTCATTCTCATGTGTTCCCTGCGCTCCAGTTACATGTGACTCCTTTCTGTTTTGTGAATAACTTCTCAACTCCCACTTCTCTGCTGTGCCTTGCCCTTCAGCTTCTCTCCTGGGCCCACTGAATCCTACTGCAGCCTTTTAAGGCCTCCCACTTAAATACCACCTCCTCCATGATGTCTGTCTGTAACCCTAGTCAAAATTAACCTCCCTCTATAATCCCACAGATTTATACTCCTGTAATGACACATTCTAACTGCACTAAAGTCTCCATGCCTGGAGACCCTACTAAGTAGTGGACTCCTTAAGGATAGGGACTATGTCTTTTTCATTTTTATATCCCCAAAACAGTACTTCTCAAATTTTAATGTGCATATAAATTATCTGAGGATCTTATTAAAATTCAGATTCTGGTTCATTCAGCCTGGGATAGGGCCCAAGATTCTTATTTTCCAACAAGCTCCTGGGTGCTACCCTCGCTGCTGGTCTGAAGACCAGCACTTTGAATAGAAGGGCCCTGAAGCACCTAGTACAATGCTTTAAATATTAGATTTGAATTGAAAACATGTATAAAAGTAGAAGTTCTTATTTTCGAAGGCAACAGTTTTATTAAGGAGGTAAGATTAATACACTCAAAAGAGGAAATGAGCTTAAGAAAAAAAAGAAGTAGGGAGGTAAAGAATTCTGAGGTCAAGAGGCTTGAGTTCTTATCATAGATCTGTCATTTATTAGTTGGGTAACCTGGAGCAAGTCACTTAACCTTGCAGGACTTCAGTGTTCTTATCTGTAGAACAGGGATAGTAATGCCTGTCCGGCTTAAGTTGGTGAATTGACATGAACCTCAAATGAGAATATATGTAAGCACGTTGTAAAACTATCAAGTACTATACAAATCAAAAGTTAAAATGGTTTTTTTAGTATAAGCTGTGGTATAGATTTTGTGCTAAGGAGTTAAGATTAAGAAAAATTCTAACTGGGAAAGTTCATTAAGGCGGTAGAGATTAGGAAAAGAAATAGTCAAGAGTTAGCGAGTAAAGCAATAGTTGTCAACCTTGGCTAGACATTGGAATAACTTGAAGAATTTAAAAAAATACTGATGCCTCATCCCACCCCCAGAGTTTCTGATTTTATTATTTGGGGTGTGGCCTAGTGACTCCGGATGCCTCTCCAGGTGGTTTTAATATGCAGCCAAGGTTGTGAACTGCTAGGGTAAAAGGAGGCATTCTAAGCTCCTATTCTGTGCCAGGTATAAAGTGTATAAAGTGTATAATTTGATGAATAGGCTGCTCCAGGTGGAAGTGGTGTTGTGGGCAAAGGTACAGAAGCAGGAATGCACCAAGCATTGTGGGGATGTGGAGCGATCACATAAATGAACAGGAAAGAGAGATTCTGGGAAAGATGGGTTTGGCCCTGATTTTATGGGGTTTTGTGCACTGCAGGCAGAGGAGCTTAAGCCCTCTCCTGTGGCTTTGTGACACCGTTATAAGCTCCTGAGTAGCAACAGGGTGGTACAAGCAGTAGAGTGGTAGTCTAAGGCTTGGATGGGAGGAGGGAAAAAACAGAATGCTAGCAAACAATTCCAGTAATCTAGGTGTGCTAGCATGGAGGAGACCTGCGTGAGAGACAGTGAACAAGAAGAGGTAGGATTTTGTTGCCTGGCTATAATGGGTACAAATACTTTGAAAATGCTTAAGTGTTTAGTCCAAGTGACTGGAAGAATGGTGGTAACAGGACAGGTGAGCAGAAGATGAGTACAATATGGTGAAGCTTTAAGATGATGGTGCTTAGAGTGAGAAGTGGTTTGGATATGAGGGCACATTTGATACTCGATTCCTGATCCTATTCTACCCCCAAGAGCTCTCTTATTATTGATTTCCCATCCTAGGGATTACCAGTAGATGGCCTCCCTGTGATCCTGACTTGGTGTTCATTTTTGGCTTAAAGGTATAACCTTTACTGCTCTTTCTTTTCTTCACCAGTTTGGAGGGAAGCTGGTTACCTTTGGCCTCCCCAGCTCCCCTGCCCATCATGTGCCACAGCCTTGCCCCCGCCTAGTCTTCGTCAGTCAAGTCACCACAGAATCTGAATTGCTAATGCGGTCAACTGAGCTGCAGAAGGCCCTGGGATCTGAAAATCTCCTGAATTATTGTCAGAACAAGAGCCAGCAAGCTTCACTGCAAAGTGAAAAGATGCTGTGGCAGTTCCTAAAGGTAGAAGGCCTGAAGGCTGGCTGCTCAGAAGTGTTTCTCCAAAGCCTGGAACTATAGCCCCTATCAACTCCAGGAGAGGCACAACCACATTGTCACCCAGATTACAGAGGCCCTAACTCTCATTGCTTCTCCCATCCCCCACTATACCCACCCTCTGGACACAAAATCTTCACCCTTTATCAGAGGCTTATAGGTCATTCATGAAGTGGCTAGGGAAGAGGGAGAATACTAGAGATGTTTTCCTTTGTTGCTACTATTGCTGATGTCCTAGATAATTTACCAGAGCCAAGGTGAAGGTTTTCACAGGATCATGCCAAAGGGCAGGTAAGGTGATGGGAAGGAAGAAAAAAGGAAGGAAAAAGAAACAAGAGAAGGAAAGATTCGTTTGAGGGGTACCTTTTTATAAGAAGGCTTTAAGTTTGTTTCAAGTAACTCAAGGCAAGTCCTCATGGGTGGGCCACTGTACTCTGGAGGTGTGGATTCAGTTCCAGTTCTAACTTAATTTCAAATTGCATATGACATCAGGAGGAGTGCTATTCCTGTCAAAGGAAATGAACAAGTGAGAGATCTGAAGGAAGAGAGGGAGCTGACTGGTCAGGCAGTGGGAGGATTATGCAAATCTCTGGGATTGTAGAGAGGAATGCAAAAAGAAGGGTAGGCCCTGTCCCGGGAACCTAAGAGGGACTCAGAGTCTGAGCTTTAGACAGAGCAGAACTTTACAACGGTAGACATTGGGAAACTGGGAAAGAGGAGAAGGATTTGAGAAAAATTATTGACTATAGAATGAAGCTAAAGAAAGAGGTGGAAAGAAAAGAGTAAGAAATATGTTCCTATTATAAGCAGGCTGCAAGCTCCAGGAGTGGGGAGGTGGGAAAGAACAGAGGGGAGTGGGCAGGAGTTCAGCCTTTACACTGCTGAGCAAAGGAGACAGCAGTACCTATGGGACAGAGGGGAGTCTGGTTTAAAAGCCACCCAAGAGCTGTCCATCATGACAGTTCCTGAAGTCGAGTGTGGATGAACATTTCCAAGAACATGAAGGAGCAGGGGGCCCAGAGAGACTGTGAGAAAGATCATGGTGAGAATTCATGGTTCAGTGTAGAATAAATGAAGGCTTAGGCCAGCTAACCCAGATTAGAGGGGCTTCATGAAGGCTTGCTCCTCAGCATTTGGGACACTGAGTGGGAAGCTGACTTTATTTACTATATCCATGCATCTTCTACCAGGCATCTTCTCAACTAAACATTCAGACTCACAAGGCTACTGTAGACTACACTTGGCATCAGTCTCTTCAGAGGGATATGGGCCAGGGACCACAGCAGCATAGCATTAGGAGGTCTTCTGTGGGAGTCTTTTCAGCAGTCAATGCAGCAATCCAGAGTTCTCCTCTTTAGCAACTCACAAGACAGTCCTGGTGCAAGGAGGTGAGATGTACATCAGCAGGTGTATAAGTTGCCTTGACTTAGGAGCTTCTTGCCCACCAAAGCCAATATCTCTTGGGCCAGCTGCAAAAGCATAGCTTACAAAATCCCTGCAAGGTATCTGTACAGTTACAAGAGTCATTGCAATCGGGAAACATATAGCATGGTGTCCACATAAATTATTTATAGTTTACATAGTTCCAGTCCAGATGCAATTTACCAATCACAAACAATGTTGCTTAAAACATCTGACATTTTACTCTTACCAGGTTACCAGGGTAACAGAGTTAGGAAGTCAACTGAAGGTTAAATTCTCATGCAGAAGGGGTGAGGGGTTATGTTAACACTGCCAACATCCAGGAATAAATCAAATCCGGGGAGGAAAAGGGAGAGATGTACTGCTGAGGGCACTTCTGGTAGTACAAAGAACTATATTTGAGGGTACACTGGCACAGACGTCCAGCTTGGTGCATGACAAGGGTCATTCACATTCATTTAATGGCAACTTTTCTGTGTTCTGTGGTTTCTTAGGTGACCTTAGAGCAAGACTCCAGAATGAAATTCCTAAAGCTTTTAGGATACAGTAAAGATGAGCTTCAGAAGAAGGTAAGCTGCTTTTTATATCAGAAACATGTACTTGTTGCAGAGAACAAGAGAATCCTGCCAGAGGAAACCCATCTCAGAATGCCTCTTCCTGGGCTTAGTTATTGCATATGTGAGCATTTTACCTCCTGGAGTTAGGCTTTTTCTCAGGAAAATAGATCAAGAATCTTAGGAGTCCAGTTGGTGTGGTGTGGAAGTGGGAAGAGCATGTAGTGCTTTTTGACTTTATGCTGAGAAGAGTGATACTCACAAATCCCTCCCTGCATGTGGCCACATGGTTGAAGAGTGACTTGGGGCTAGGTGAGAGCCCTCAGCCCAAGGGAAATGACCTCAACAGTAACAGACAACAGGTCTTCTGCAGCCAGGTGTGGTAGGCGCCCACTCAGCCTTACCTAGGGTAGCACAGGAGACTTGCCTTTAGAGCATCTTCCCCTTCCTGGCTCTTTGCTTGCTCTCAGTAAATGCTCAGCTTCTGCTGAAGTCTTCAAACTTCTCACTCTCTTGGAACCAGAGTGAGACACAGAGTCTATAAGCTTTCGGGTTGAGATTGGAACTGTGTCTTAACCATGAACTAGGGCCCTTCCCAAACCTTACCTGGTTATTCTTTAAGTATTACCCATTAAGGGCCAAATAGTAGTGCTCTCAGAGAGCTACTAAGCCAGCTCTCTGCGTGTCTTCTGGGTTTATTTCCTAAGTAGTCACCTTTGTCCTTCCTTATACAGGCCTCCAAATACACCACAGAGGAAGCCTCTGCTTCCTCAGCCTTCTTTGATGAGCTGGTCCCTCAAAACATGACTCCATGGGAGATCCCCATCACAGAAGGTACCCTGATCTTAAGGGAGAGAAACTCTCTGCTTGGGAGTAAGTGGGCCCAGAGTTCTTGGACTTGAGACATTCCTTCTTTGTCCCCTGCCTCCTTCTTCCTTCCCACTATCTCAAATGGTGAGTTTCTTACCAGTTTGAGCTTTCTCTGGTTGTAGATTTTCATGGATGGGTCCTTCCTATGGAAGTCCTTCTACCAAGAGATTTTTTTCTATCCTTGTCTTCTTGCTCAAAGAAGACATGTGACCCTGTCCATGCTGATCAAGCACACGTCACATCGGTGATACTGCCACATGAGTTACTGCCCTTGTCTTGGATCCTGTCTTTAGTTACTACTGTACCTGGGTATCCCTGGGGTTTCATTGCCAAGGAATTATACTTGAAGGGGTTTTTTTTGGAGCAAGGCAGGCTGGTGTACTGTGAACCCTTCCGAGGACAGGAAGCTAGGATCTGAGGGCAGTCTAATGTGGAGGCGATGCCTCTGCCTGCAGATGCTGATGGACTCCTGAGCCAGGCTCTCCTGCTTGGGGAACTGGGCCCTGCTGTGGAGCTGTGTCTACAGAAAGAGCACTTTGCTGATGCTATCATCCTGGCTCAGGCTGTGGGCACAGATCTGCTGAAGCAAACACAGGAGCGCTACTTGGCCAAGAAAAAAACAAAGATCTCCTCGGTAACTGCCTGTTATACAGGAGAAGAAGGGAGGGGACTACTTGGACCTTGTCAGGTGGGGCTAATGTTTAGAGTATCTGCCTGTCTCTCTCTTTATTCTACTCCTATTTCACACTAGCCCCTACTCAGTGGTGTAACAGGAAGCCTATGCATGACTCCTACTGCCTATACCGGATGGCTGGCTGATGGCCTTCTTCCTTTTCTGCCCATTACAGCTTCTAGCCTGGGTTGTGCAAAAGAATTGGAAGGACATGGTGTGTACCTGCAGCCTGGAGAACTGGAGAGAGGTGCTGGCCTTGCTACTGACATACTCGGGCCCAGAGAAATTCCCTGAGCTCTGTGGTAGGTGTGGCTCCAGCATGGAGTCAGTGGACACATGCAGGGAGGAAGCAGAGGAGCACCCTGAACTCTGGGAGGCCAGGCCTTGTGGTCAGGGCCAGAGTTTGGCTCAGCCAGTGCGCAAAGACTATAATGCATGCCCCTACTTTTAGTGGGGATCATTTATTGTTCTGTTTTACTTTGTCTTGTCACATCATGAGGCAAAAGCTTTGCCCTTCAGTGTAGAGCAGGGTTAGTCTCAGTGTTGTCTTAAAGCCACTCTAGCTACTTGTCGCATAGCTCAGTGTCCTTCACCTGTTCCAGATAGGAGAAGGGGGTGGCTTACTGGACAGCTGTGCCGTTAATGAAGTTTCTTTCTCTCTGCAGACATACTGGGAAATCGCATGGAGCAGGAGGGCAGCAGGGTACTAACCTCTGAAGCCAGACTCTGTTATGTATGCTCAGGGAGTGTGGAGCGGCTGGTAGAGTGCTGGGCAAAATGCCACCAGGCTTCGTCCCCCATGGCTCTGCAGGTACCCCTTCTCTGTGGGGTACTGGCTACTCCATACCAGGCCCTTAAGAGAGGCTAGCAGTGGAGATGTGCAAAGATATCAGAGGCAAGTCTTCTGGTTACAGGCTAGAGCCAGGGTGTTAGGAAAGAGTGAAGGGCTCCAGTGTCTGGGATCTTTACCCAAGGCTGAGATATCACCTCCTTACTTCAGGGTAGACTGCGAAGCAGCTGCTTGGTATTAATCTTCATAATATTTTCCCATTTCGGGTTTGGTTACACAAGTTTCTTCAATATCTGAGTAATTGTGAGCTTGGCCCTTTTATTAGCTGCTGTGAGAATTTGTGTGGATCTTAACTACCAGGTGCTCTGCAGGTAACCAGAGAAGGTGTGGGTCACAGACTCATGGAGAGATAAAAGTCACACTTGAAACAATTAGCATAACAGAGTCTATGATTGATGATATACTAGCAGAAAGGGTACAGAAAGCCAAAGACAAGGCAGAGATGTACAGAAATCTAAGATCCAGATGGGCCCAGTTGAATCCAGTCCTAATACCTTGGGAGGTGAGGCCAGAGCCCTCTCTGCCACAGCTCTTACATATCATTGTCTGCTGCCTTCACCTGGGTGCATCCAGGTACCCTCTGCCCATAGTAGAAAATCCTTGGTGACCTGCCTGGACTTAGAGAGCAGAATGTGCTTTGAAGAGGGCTTACCACCCTCATCTTGTCCCTGTAGGACCTGATGGAGAAGGTGATGGTCCTTAATAGGAGCTTGAAGCTACTGCAGGGTCCTAATGGGGTGAGCCCAGGCCCTGCCACAACCTACAGGATCACTCAGTATGTCAACCTCCTGGCATCCCAGGGCAGCCTTGCTGCTGCCATGAGCTTTCTACCCAGTGACTGTGCTCAGGTGAGTGGGGCCACGTGGAGAGAGCAAACCACTTTATTCAATCAACTAACACTGACTGAGCATTTCCATGTTCTAGGAACTATGCTAATGCTGAAGCTCCTAGGATGGATAAGATCTAATCCCTCAATCAAGTCATAATCTACTAGAGGAAGATCAGATGTCACTAATTTATAGTGCCATAACAGAAGCTTATACTAAGCACTGTGGGACTCCAGGGAAGGGACTAATTTTGCCTAGAGAAGTCAAGGAAGGCTTCCCAGTGGTTAAAACAGCTGAGCTGGACCTTCAAAGAAAAGTAGCCTACCAGCAGATGTAGGGCATTCTAGGCAGAAAGAATAGCAAGGAGGGAGGTATACAAATGTTTGGCAGGGATTAGGGAACTTTGTGAGTCATTTAAGGTGGCTAGAGTGTAGAGCGTCAGCCAAAGTTTGACTGCTATATGGGGCTAGGCTTGTAAAAAAGGATGTTTGATTGTTTTTATTTACTTAACAGAGCCCTTCCTTATTACAACTCTTGTAGCCTCCAGTTCAGCAGCTGAGAGATCGGCTTTTTCATGCCCAAGATTCTGCTGTCTTGGGCCAGCAGCCTCCCCCTTTCCCCTTCCCTCGGATTGCTGTGGGAGCTACCCCCCACTCTAAAGAGACATCAGCTCACGGCTTGGGATCCCAGTCTTCTCACCAGGTAAGACCTTATTTGTTAATTCATTTGTTCATGCATTCAAAATACTGTGTGCCAGACATGGTTCTAGGCACTTGGAATATATTAGTGAATAAAACTGAGGAAAATTCCTGACTCCATAGAGCATAGATTCTTTTGTTTTTCTAGTAACTATTTATTTAACAACTACTAGACTCTTAGGACATAAAGGTGCACAAATCATGATCCTTGCCCTCAAGTTGTTCACAGTCCAGTGGAAAGATAGATATGTAAAAAATAACTATAGTAAAATGCATAAACTCCATGATGGGTATGGCAAGGTGCTATGAAATCATATAGAAGAAAGCAGTTTACTGTGTGTATGTGTGGAGGGGTGGGGGAGAGAGAGGCAGGGAGAAAGAGGGCAGTTCAGGGAATGTCTCATAATGAGTATGATGTTTGATCTGAATCTTGAAAATTAGAAGTTATTTAGGCAAAGGAATTGGGTAGGTGAAGACTGTTTCAGGCACCAGGAACAGTATGTACAAAGACATGGAAGCAAGAGTAAGCAGAGGCCTTTTGAGGAACTAATATTTTAATGGGCCTGCAACACAGGTGTTTGTGGCCATGAAGTGAGGTTAGATGAAGCTGGAGCAACAGGTAGCAGTTACATCACTAAGGACCTGGCATTCTGTGCTAAAAAATTTAGATTTGACCCTGAAGATAAGGAGGAGCTATTGAATATTTTTATGCAGGGGAATGACATTAGCTATGTGTTGAGGAAGGCCAGGCTGGGAGGCAGTTAGGAGGCTATGGCAAGAGATGATGAGGACATGAAGTAATCTAAAGTTGGACAGTGAGATTGTATTTGAGGTATTTAGTAGATAGAATTGACAGAAATTGCTAGGCGAGGTGTCTCACACCTGTAATCCCAGCATTTTTTGAGGCCAAGGTGGGAGGATCACTGGAGTTCAGGAGGTCAGGAGTTTGAGAGCAGCCTGATCAACATAGTGAGACCCCCATCTCTACAAAAAATTTTTTTTAAAAAATTAGCCAGCATGGTGGCATGTACTTGTAGTCCCAGCTGCTCAGGAAGCTGAAGCAGGAGGATCACTTAATCCCAGGTGTTTGAGGCTGCAGTGAGCTTTGATCACACCACTGTACCCCAGCATGGGCAACCAACAGAGCAGTACCCTGTCTCAAAAAAAAAAATAATTGAGAATATTCCTCAGGTTCTGGACAAATTGCCCAGGTGGGTTAGGTACTGTTAAACATATGAGACCAGGAGCTAACTAGAGGAGCTGGGGAACAAAATCCAGGGAGATTTGAAGACAGAGGTATCAGGCAGAACCTCTGATGATTCATCTTATCCTACCTTCAATTCCCACCCTAATTCCTTTTCTTTCTTCCCTGCCTCTCACTTCTCTCCCCTTCCCTCCTTCCCCTCTCTTCCCTTCTACCTCCCTTTCCCCATTTCTTTTCCATTTTGAAATAATTGGAAATCTCCTACATCCCAACCCCACCTCACCCCATGCCAGCATCCCATACAACCACAGTACAGCATCAAAACCAAGAAATTGACATTAGTACAATCCATAGATTAAGATTTCACCAGTTTTACCTGTACTATTTGTGTGTGTATGTATAGCTATGCAATTTGTCACATTGTGGTGTGTAACCACCACCACTATCAAGATACTCAATTGTACCATCATCACAAGACTCTCTTGTATTACCCCTTTATAGCCACATCCATCCCTCATCCCTAACCCTTGGCATCACTAATGTATTCTACAGCTCTATAATTGTTATTTCTCAATTGGTACATAAATAGAATCATGTAGTACATATCCTTTTTGAGATTGGCTTTTCTCACTTAGCATTGTTTCCTTAAGGTTCATCCAGGGTATTGTGTGTACCAATAGTTCATTCACTCTTATTGCTGAGTGGTATTCCATGGTATGGATGTACCACAGTTTTCTTAGCCATTCACTGTTTGAAGGACATTTAGGTAGTTTCCAATTTGGGACTATCATGGATAAAGCTGCTATGGGCATTTGAGTGTAAGTTTCTAAGTGAAAATAAGTCTTCATTTTTCTAGGATAAATACCTAGGAATGTAAGGATACAATTGCTGAGTTGCATGTTAAGTCCATTTTTAGTTTTAAAAGGAATAGCCAATCTATTTTCCAGAGTGGTTGTACCACTTTACATTCCCACCAGCAATAGAAAAATGCTCTGCTTTTTCCACATCTTCACCAGTATTTGGTGTTATCATTGTTTTTCAACTTAGCCATTCTGATAGGTGTGTGGTA